CTCAGAATTAAATTTCCTATCTAAATATGCTTTATGTATTTTTTTACGTTATCGGTTCAAAAAATAAATTTTAATTGTGGTAAAAACGTTCGAAGGGAAAAGGTTAACATCTTATACGCAATTTTAAGTATCTTTATATCATTCTACTCAGAATTAAATTTCCTATCCAATTATGCTTAGATGTATTTTTTACGTTTCCGGTTCAAAAAATAACATTTTTGTCGCGAAAACGTTCGAAGGAAAAAGGCTAACATCTTAAATTTAATTTTATAAATTTTTATATCATTGAACTCAGAATTAAATTTCCTATCTAAATATGCTTTGGTGTATTTTTTTACGTTATCGGTTCAAAAAATAAATTTTAAAAATTTTTTGGTGGTAAAAACATTTTGTTGGAAAAGGCTAACATCTTAAACGCAATTTTAGGTATTTTTATATCATTCTACTCAGAATTAAATTTCCTATCCAATTATGCTTAGATGTATTTTTTTACGTTTCCGGTTCAAAAAATAACATTTTTGTCGCGAAAACGTTCGAAGGGAAAAGGCTAACATCTTAAGTTTAATTTTATAAATTTTTATATCATTGAACTCAGAATTATATTTCCTATCGAAATATGCTTTGATGTATTTTTTTACGTTATCGGTTCAAAAAATAAATTTTAGTAATTTTTTTGTGGTAAAAACGTTCGAAGGGAAAAGGTTAACATCTTAAACGCAATTTTAAGTATCTTTATATCATTCTACTCAGAATTAAATTTCCTATCCAATTATGCTTAGATGTATTTTTTTACGTTTCCGGTTCAAAAAATAACACTTTTGTCGCGAAAACGTTCGAAGGGAAAAGGCTAACATCTTAAATTTAATTTTATAAATTTTCATATCATTGAACTCAGAATTAAATTTCCTATTTAAATATGCTTTGATGTATTTTCTTACATTATCGGTTCAAAAAATAAATTTTAAAATTTTTTGGTGGTAAAAACATTTTGTTGGAAAAGGTTAACATCTTAAACGCAATTTTAGGTATTTTTATATCATTCTACTCAGAATTAAATTTCCTATCCAATTATGCTTAGATGTATTTTTTTACATTTCCGGTTCAAAAAATAACATTTTTGTCGCGAAAACGTTCGAAGGGAAAAGGCTAACATCTTAAATTTAATTTTATAAATTTTTATATCATTGAACTCAGAATTAAATTTCCTATCTAAATATGCTTTGATGTATTTTTTTACGTTATCGGTTCAAAAAATAAATTTTAATAATTTTTTTGTGGTAAAAACGTTCGAAGGGAAAAGGCTAACATCTTAAATTTAATTTTATAAATTTATATATCATTGAACTCAGAATTAAATTTCCTATCTAAATATGCTTTGATGTATTTTTTTACTTTATCGGTTCAAAAAATAAATTTTAATAATTTTTTTGTGGTAAAAACGTTCGAAGGGAAAAGGCTAACATCTTAAACGCAATTTTGAATATTTTTATTAAAATTTATTTTTTGAACCGATAACGTAAAAAAATACATCAAAGCATATTTCGATAGGAAATATAATTCTGAGTTCAATGATATAAAAATTTTTAAAATTAAACTTAAGGTGTTAGCCTTTTCCCTTCGAACGTTTTCGCGACAAAAATGTTATTTTTTGAACCGGAAACGTAAAAAAATACATCTACGCATAATTGGATAGGAAATTTAATTCTGAGTAGAATGATATAAAAATACCTAAAATTGCGTTTAAGATGTTAGCCTTTTCCAACAAAATGTTTTTACCACCAAAAAATTTTTAAAATTTATTTTTTGAATCGATAACGTAAAAAAATACATCAAAGCATATTTAGATAGGAAATTTAATTCTGAGTTCAATGATATAAAAATTTATAAAATTAAATTTAAGATGTTAGCCTTTTCCCTTCGAACGTTTTCGCGACAAAAATGTTATTTTTTGAACCGGAAACGTAAAAAAATACATCTAAGCATAATTGGATAGGAAATTTAATTCTGAGTAGAATGATATAAAGATACTTAAAATTACGTTTAAGATGTTAGCCTTTTCCCTAATCCAGTACTCACAATATCGTTTAACTTACTATCAATTTAGTTTTGAAAAAAAACTTAAATAGAATATACATATAATTTTAAAAATTCCATTATTTTAAAATAACCAAATATAATTTAATTAAAAATATAAATTAAAAATTAAATAAAATTAAAACTGCAATTTATTTCAAAAAATTAATAAAAAAATTAAAAAGATCTTAAAATTTCCATTTTTTTAATATATTATAATGTAATGAATGCTATTATAATATTTTTCTCCTAAAAAAAGCAATAAATCAATCAAATTACACATTAATCATTTTCTTTGTTATTTTTATTTTCAATATTATTTTTTAGTATTTCGTATCATGCAGCCTTTCGACTTTTAGACCTTGCGTTTTCGTTTTTTCTTTATATAGGGTAAATTATTTTAAAAAAAACAAACAATTAAAATAAAATAACAATATGTTTTTTTATTTTTGCACAATTCTCAAAAAATAAATGACAATCAAATATATAATATATAACAAAACAGATTTAAAAAATACATACGGTAATTTTTTTGCATTTACAATTTTTATATAATTTAATTTTTTTTATAAAATACATACGGTAATTTTTTTGCATTTACAATTTTTATATAACTTATTTTTTTTTATAAAATAGAGTTTAATATTTTTTTCAAATGTTTAATATACGACAAATTTTATCTAGTAATACAAATTCATTTACATTAAATCCTGATCCTGTTTTATCTAATTCAAATTCAATACCTAATATTACAAATAATTTCCATATGATCAATTCTTCCTCTGTAAGTGGTGATTCTATTACTGATCCAACATGAAGAAAATATACTAACTGGAATAAGGAAAAAATTGTAATAGTAAAAAAATTATTATCGGTACCCGAGAGAGAGCGAATGAAAATGACAGATATGCTAAATATATAGATATGTCGTTATCGTCTGTTAATAAATTAAGGCGAGAAACGTTTCCCGAAATCATCGGAGATCCTTTGAAAGAATATGTAATTAGAAAGAGAGGCAGAAAAAATAAAGACACCTTTCGATGTAGAAAGAAAAATAATCGATCTTTTAATGGCGAACAATACATTCACTATTAAAGATATAATAGAAAATTTACCTCCGAGATTTCCAAAAAACGAAGGAACTATACGGAAATATATTAAAAAAATAGGATGGTCAAAAAAACGTGCAGGAAAAGAGCCAGATAGGAGAAACACATCCGGCACAATCAATATACGCCAAATTTATTGTATAAAAGTACTAAATATAGCCAAAGAAAAATTATTCTTCTTAGACGAGACAGGCATAAATTTGCACGTTGTACCTGTTTCCATATAATGTTACGCCTAGTATTAAAGTCCCGCCATCTAATGGTAAGAATATAAGTATATTATGCACTATGGGAATCGATGGTGTGATACTTTATCGCATCATTGAAGGACCTTATAATACCTTTTATTTAGAGATTATATGAATGCACTAATTAATATTCTACCGAGTGATGCAGTTATTGTTATGGACAATGCATCCATCCATAAAAGCCACCTCATTGATTGTTTTAGAGCGCGAATAGAATATTTGCTACCCTATTCGCCGCAACTAAACCCGATAGAAATTTTTTTTGGAGTGTTAAAAAACAAATATAGGTCGATCAATCCCCGACCAAATACTCGAAACGAAATAATTAATAATGTAACATCAATTCTTAATGAATTTACTATTCCTTTTGATTTTTCAAATTATTATAATAAAATGCATCAATTTTTGGAGATTGGTTATCGAGGACAACCAATGAATTAAGGTAAATTTATAAAAATATAATTTATATTGAAATATATTTTAAAGGAATTTAGAAAAAGGAGAATATATATATAAAGAAAAAACGAAAATTAAAATATCCAATTTTTAATGTATTTTTTAAATCTGTTTTGTTATATATTATATATTTGATTGTCATTTATTTTTTGAGGGTTGTGCAAAAATAAAAAAACATATTGTTATTTTATTTTAATTGTTTGTTTTTTTTAAATAATTTACCCTATATATATATTCTCCTTTTTCTAAATTCCTTTAAAATATATTTCAATATAAATTATATTTTTATAAATTTACTTTAATTCATTGGTTGTCTTCGATAACCAATCTCCAAAAATTGATGCATTTTATTATAATAATTTGAAAAATCAAAAGGAATAGTAAATTCATTAAGAATTGATGTTACATTATTAATTATTTCGTTTCGAGTATTTGGTCGGGGATTGATCGACCTATATTGTTTTTAACACTCCAAAAAAATTTTCTATCGGGTTTAGTTGCGGCGAATAGGGTGGCAAATAATCAATTTTTTCCTTATTCAAGTTAGTATATTTTCTTCTTGGAATAGCCGATGTTGGATCAGTAATAGAATCACCACTTACAGAGGAAGAATTGATCATATGGAAATTATTTGTAATATTAGGTATTGAATTTGAATTAGATAAAACAGGATCAGGATTTAATGTAAATGAATTTGTATTACTAGATAAAATTTGTCGTATATTAAACATTTGAAAAAAATATTAAACTCTATTTTATAAAAAAAATTAAGTTATATAAAAATTGTAAATGCAAAAAAATTACCGTATGTATTTTATAAAAAAAATTAAATTATATAAAAATTGTAAATGCAAAAAAATTACCGTATGTATTTTTTAAATCTGTTTTGTTATATATTATATATTTGATTGTCATTTATTTTTTGAGGGTTGTGCAAAAATAAAAAAACATATTGTTATTTTATTTTAATTGTTTGTTTTTTTAAAATAATTTACCCTATAGTAAAAAAATTAACCCACATTTTATTTTTAGAATTTGACAATTAATTCTTTGTCTAGTTCATTTTATATCGATTCGTCATTTATATATTAATTGCATGTTACCTGAACTGTAGGTATCCGCCGCCACCCTAGCTTGTTTATATTCCAACCTGCCCCGCTGTCTGGATTGGCCCCCCGACCATCCCCACAAAATAAACAAGGAAGCCATACTAGAGATTCCCGGGTTACTTGACACCATAAATTACTTGGAATTTCTCGACGTTTCTATACAAGTTAGTCATTATTATTATTTATATAGAATTTTATATACTGTCTCTCTAACTCGATTTAGGAATGCTAAAAAATATTTTTAAAACTTATATTTTGCATGCTCAAGTGGAAAATAGTCAAATTTTAGTATCTTTTAAAAAAATCTTTGTTATGATCGTTAAGAGAAATCGCGTGTATTCAAGCAATTAAAGTAAAATATGAGCCTTATTATGGTCATTCCATGTCAAATGAACAAAAAATGAGATTTTCGGCCGACCCCCTTCGATTTTTTCAAAATTTGGTAAGCAAAGAATGGTTAGTGTAATTAAATAATATAACTAAAATTTTAGCCTCGTAATATTTATATTTTTGGAGATATTCGGGTTCAAAGTAGCAAAAATGACGTATTTTTATCATTATCTGCCTTCATTCAATTAAGCATATCTTAAAAACTACATGATTGTAAATAACAAATTTAATATCAAAATTACATACAAAGATTATACCTTTTCCCAATTTTCGGCCATTTTATTTAATATATAAGAACTATAAACGATTTTTTGGAAATAATAGGACTTTCAATTTTTATAAAAAATTTAAGACTAGACATTAATAAGTTCTTCTTTTATATTTATAAAAAAAATCGGTCTGGGAAGCGACCAGTTTCATTCTCAAAATCGATTAAAATAATTAGAAAAGTATATAAATATTTTCCCTATAATTGGTTGAACCGCCCATTTATTTTTATTTTCACTTACAAGATGAATAAATCTTTAAATTATATTAAATTTTTATAGAATGGCGCCCCTTTTCGGGAAAATAAAGCACATATTATTTTTGCCACTTTGAATCCTAATATCTTCAAAAAATATAAATGTTAGGAGGCTAAAATTCTGGCTGTTTCTTAGTTACATTAACCTTTATTTAATGACCAAATTTTATAAAAATCGAAGGGGTCGGCTGGTTTTTGGTCTGGCCCGAATAATTTTTGCCTAGATCCAGCTTGGACCGTGCCTCTCTCTCTAAGTGGTAATTTAATATTTAATAATACTATATTCACAAAAAAATACCCCAACCCTCCCCCTATAGAAAATTCATCCTAGAATACGTGAACAACTTATAACCATGATATATCAAGGTTTTCTCAAGCCGGTCTTAGGTCAATGTCTTTTACAAGTACATATTTTATTTAGTCACATTAAAAGTAAATGATGGAGCTTTCTTGGATCGGTTTGCAATGAGCGGGTTTTAGCCCTCAAGTCCGCCCGCCTATTGTTAAAAATATTTTAACCCACCCACTTATGGTTTTGAAAAAATATATACCCACATGCCCGCCTGTTGGTTTAAACTTTCTCTTGCCCATTATAAATTTTTTAGCCCACTCCAACTCAGGCTCATATAAAAAATAGTCCCTTTCTTTTTTAAGAAATAATAAAAAAATGATATATTCTAGAATTTGGAAAATTCTAAATATTATAAATAATTCAATAAAAATTTACAAATGTTAGTAAGGAATTTATTTGATCAAGTAAAATATGAAAAAAAATAATTGAAAAGAATGTATAATTTTTTTTTATTAAATAAATTTTTTATTTTGAAATTCAATTTTAAAAGATTACAATAAGATAAATTATTGACTAAATATTAAAAATAAAAATATATATATCTAAAAATTATATACCATATTTATAAAAAATATATTAAAAAATTATATTTAAAAAGAAAATTAAACAAAACTATTTTTTTTAAAAAACTATCTATTGGGGGGGGGCTTAATGATTCATGTATAGATATAGAGTTACATCCGTATCAGGTCAATTCGGCAAATTTTTTGACGAAACATTTATCACAAAGGTAATATCGCTAAACCAATTCAGCGAATCCAATTCCTCCATCTTTATCGAAATATTTATAGCCAAGACAATGTCGCATACCCAATCGCGAATTTATTTCAGCAAATACTTTAGAGCGAATACATTTTAGCAAAACATTTATTGTGAACACATTATAGCAAAACATTTATCGCGATCCCATTATAATGAATTTTTTTTACCTCAAATGTATATGTTCGAAGTCATTATTGCCACCGCATTACCACTAAACTGTAAATATATTGCAAATGCATTTATTATAAGGAAAACAACATATAATAATTTGCCCTTCCTTAAATCATTAAAAAATGTTTTAAGGATCTTTTGTTACTTATTATCAATTAAGTTTACATGTGACTTTTATCTGATGTAGCAATTTCTTTAAGGTTTCTCTCACTCAGGATTGTAAATACAGAGGGGACATTTGGGTTAAGCTTTTTACCACAATAAATCCGCCCCCCCCCACCATAAATTTTGATAGATATTTTGAAATACTTTAATTTTTTAGATTAAAATACTAAAGGTTAAAAATTTTAACTGATTTTCTCCAATTATTTATAAAAATTAGACAATTAAATAACTTTTTTATTAATATATCCAATTTGATGTTTTAAAAAGATTTTTCGTGTAAATAATAAATAAGATTTTTATTTTTTTAAAATCTCTTTTTTTTCTATAAAATTTTTGTTCCTTTATCGGAACCCTGAAAATCTTAACATGTTATATAATTGTTTATGAAGAAAGCGAGGATTAGGAAAAATATGGAATTAAATCATTTGATTTTCACTTTATAATTCTTTTTCGTTTTATTTTTTTAATTATAGTTCAATTTAAATAAAAGCGTTTTTTACGTAAAAAATATAACTAAACGCCTCTTCTTAATTTCTAAGCACTTTTACTCATTTTTCTCTAATAAAATGGAAATAATACAGATCAGGATTTTATTAAAAATAAATATACAAATTATATGACCAACCAGTATATAATTAAATAGAAAATGTTCCAGATCAAAAATAATAGAGATATTCATATTAGAGCTCGCGGACCAAGGGGAGAAAATTTAAAAAAGTTCTACAGGTCGGGTCCGGGAAAGTCGTGCATAAGATTTTTTTATGCCGGGGAAAAAAATTTCGGGCCGGGCGTGACAATTTATATTATATATTAATCAGTCAGAATATCTTAAATCTCTGAGTTTTCTAAAATTTTAATAAACCAGCTTAAGAATTATAGTTTTGATATATTTTTTTTTGAATTATAAGTTAATAATAAAATTTACTATTTGAAAATAAATTACAATATGTTAATTTCTTTGTATTTTAATGCTGTCTTACTGAAATACTAAATCAATAAATATTATAGTATATTAACAAAAAATTAAACAAGTTATTTACGGTATAACCTAATAATAAATACACAATACGGATATCAAACACATTGATTTATAAAACGGTTGTTGTAGAAATAGATAACCATAGAGGAGAGATATAAGCGCCATAATTGACATTGGGAAAAACTAGTCTATTAAAAATGTGCAGGGAAATTCATATAAAAATATTCGAGTCGTCAATGACTTAGTAAAATTTTAACGAGACAGGCCTGAATTTTGTAGATTTTTAACGGGCCGATCAAATTGTTAAAAAAAGTTTCGGGCTGGCTAAGAACAAAAAATCTGACCATTTGAGGCTGGCAATTTAATTCTTGCCAGGATGGGCCTTGCAAATCTCTAGTTTTTATATCTGGACACCAGGCAGAGTTAAATGTTTTTTTTTTATTTACCTTATATAAATTATACCTTAGGAGACAATCTTGTAATTTTTTAGCATAAGAGTTATCAAATGAAAGCTAATAAAAAAAATTGACTTATGAATTACCACTCTAAGCCATTGGTAGGCCATGAGGAAAGCAAAGTACAAAGTAGCATAAAAGGTTATATTACAATAATAAATTTAAAAACCAATTCTAAGCTCAATAATTATATAAATTTAAAAGAAAATTAAAAACTATTATTGAATCGATTTTTTATACTCTTTTTTAAAATATTGGTCAATTTATATGGTCTTAAAAATAAAGACTTCATAATAAAATAGTCACTATTAGCATTTCGCCATATGATTTAACGATAATATTTTCACGAATATGTTTCGTAAAATAGTTTTTGCTATATTGTCTTGGCGATTTGGGCTTTGCTATAATGTATTCGCGATAAGGGATATTGTCTTCCCAGAATAGTATTCGCCAATGTGGATTCACGATAAAATTGTTTTGCTGAATTTCATGGAACCGTTAGATTGACCAGTTTTAATATTAATTATAATGTGAGAATAACAATGAATCTACATTTTTCAAACATGTTCTTCTTTACTCTTAAGACCTTCCAGCAATGCTAAATCCTCGTTCAGAAGATAACCTACCTTAAGCAAATGACTTTCCACTAGCTTGGAATTTTACCTTCATAGATTTTTTAAAAGTATCCAACTAATCGTCAGGAGCTTAAATCATTTAAAAACATATTCCTGGCTACATAATTTTCTCCTTTCATGATCTTTACATTAAAAAAGCTTTTTTAGATACGTATTATATTCATTTTAAAATGTTGTCAAAACGAAAGTGTTTCCCATCAGGACTGATAAAACTAACAGGTGGTTTACTTTAAAAATACCTTTTTAATTGCAACATATCCAACTGGTCTCTTTCATTCTAACAAAATAAGTTAAAACTTTGGATTAGGAGCAGATCAGAAAAATATCTTCTTAGTTTTGTAAAATAATAACAGCTTTAATTTTTAAATTACTATTTATAAAAAATGGCCTCAGAAATTATCAGACTTTATAAAAAAAATTATTTATCAAAAAATCGAATTCATGTTAATTTTAAATAAGCATGGGAAATCAGCCAAAATGGTAGAATTCCCATTGCTATTTATTTAAAAAAACCGTTATTAAACTTCTAAATTAATATAAGAATTAGCGGGCATAGATGCAGATCAAAAATAATAAAATAATTTTAACATAAAAGGAGATCTTCTACGAAGATTATTCAATAATGATATTGTCGCTCCAAACTCAGATGAAGCTTACTAAGAGTTATTATCTAAGTATCCTTTAAGTATAAATAGTAAGGGGTTCTCAGTTAAAAAGACTTAATAGCCTAAAAGATTCACCAGACAATTTCCAACATTAAACTTATTTTTATATTTATGTTCTTTTTAACCTGGATTACTGAAACTAATGATAGTTAGAAATATTAAAATATGTTGAATACGAAAAAATCGCTTATGCGATAAAAGAAATATGATAGTTAGGTAGATCATCCATAAAGTGGACTTTTTTTCTCGTTCAATTTATCGAGGCACAATTTTTGAAAATTTTAACTCCACCAAAAATTTCAATAATTTTGTTAATTAATTTTTAGGTTTATATGTTTAATTTATTGTTTTTGAATAATTAATTTTGAAATTCGTAGTATCTAAATGAGAAACTAATTAAATTTAGAAATTAATTAAGTTAAGAAATTTATTTTGTTACACAAATAATTAACTATATAGAATTAATCGCTTTATTAAAATTTAAAATATATAAAAATATATTTCGTCGCTATATATATTAATTTCTTATTGCATCTTATAATAATTCAAACATTATGATCATAAATAACTAATGTTGTAAACGAACGCGTTCGTGAACGAAGTTCGTTTTTTTGAAAAAAATGATTAACGGCGTTCCTTTTATTTTTGACGAACTTTGAACGTGAACGCCTTCCTTTTTTATGACGAACGCGTTCGAATTTAATGTTCGTTCAATTTTAAAAATTAAATTTTTATTTATTTGAAACGAATTTTTTTAAAAAATGTTTTATTTATATTTTTCCTTTTCACATTTCAATTTTTTTAACACATAGTTTATTAATTTGAATATTATTGTTTATATTTTAATTTAATTTATTAAAATAAGCATGGATATTGTTATTTAATCCTCATCATCTGATTCTGAAAATCCAAAATCAGATGAATTATCATTACCATGGCCAAATATGATAAATGTTTTACATTAACATCCTATATTGAAGGAACTAATCCAATGCTTGCCAAGTGTAAAATGTGGCCAAAAAGTATTATAAAATCTTCAGGTTTTAATTTAAAACGACATTTGATTTTAGTATTAATTATTTGATTTTATATGATATAACTAAGTTAAATCATTAAATTTGAAGAAATAATGCATTTGAGATATTTGACCTCAACAATAACGATAGTTATTTTTAAATTAAAAAAATTAGTGGCCTCAAATATGGTCAACCATTGATAGACGCCGTATTAAATGAGATTAATAAAAGGTATTAAGCTATTACTCTCAATTAATTACATATATTTTATTTTTTTAAAGATTTGAACATTTATATAAGGATCAATATGTTCTTTCTGTAATTATACATCCAGCATTCAAACTTCAATGGAACTTATAGCGTCATTGAAAAAAATGCTATGAAAACCCTAGAGAACTATTAATTTCGAGATATCCTTTTTTTTTGTCGAGAGTATAGAATGGATTGGAGGAGGATAACTTATCTCAATTTTTTGCAAATAACAAAACAATATTTTTTTAATTAATTCTCCACGTTAAAAGAGCTGTTTATTAAGTATAATACCGCAATCCCCTCATCTGCCCCTGTAGAGCGCGTTTTTAGTATAGCTAATGCCGTATTAACTGCCAAGTGTTCCTATCTATCAGATAAATATTTTGAAAACAATTGTTATTAAAATTTAATAAGAAAAATTTTTTATAAATAAAAATATCTTTTTATTCGCTATATTATATTTTATTTATAATTATATTATCAAAATAAAACTATATTATTTTTTAACATGGCTAAAATATATTGTATTAAAAAATATAAGTTTATTTATATTAAATTAAATTTAAAAAAAAATTATCATAAAATTTTAAACGGTTTTATGAACGTGAACGCGCGTCCCCTTTTTTATGAACTTGAACGTGAACGCGTTCGATTTTTGTCAATGAACGTTGAACGCGATACAACACTAAATAACAATTAATTTCCATGTCTGGCTTTTTACAAAAATACAATTTTCTCCTTACATAATCATAATTTAACATCATCATTAATTTATATAGTTTGATTTCTACAAAAAATTATAATTTTCTCATTGCATCATTATATAATTAAACATATCAATTCACTAATATCGTTTGATTTTTATACAAAAAAATTCTAAACTATTCAAATTTAAATCATAAAAAAAAAAATTTATTTTAAAATAAATAATAAAAAAAACTATAGCCAAGGAACTCTTAACAATTAAAGATTTATTATTTTTTAATAATCAAACAAATATTTTTTAAATGATTAAAAATAAATTGTTTTTGTCTGGGCACTTGATAACTGCAATTATAATATATCTTTTTTAAAACTAAAAACTTACTCAGGAAATAAGGATGGGCCTAGACGAAGTCATCACAGCCACGGCTTACCTCGAAATATTTTTGAGGCACATTCGTCAGCCTTCCATGGTCCGGATCTTTATAGACTTTCTCATGAAAACCGCTGATGAGGAGGATAAAAATCCAGCTGACATGAATTTAACGATGGGTTTGATTTTTTATTTTTACTGCATAATGTTAGTCCCTTATCAGAAGGATCTCTCCAAAATTTTATCTTTACTTAGAAACTTATCTAAGACCTAAGACCGTCGCGTTTTTATAGAAATTAATCGGAATTATCAAAAGTTTGCATTTAGGTTGCATTCACATTGACAATTGCAATTCTAAAATATTCTCAGCAAAATTAGAACCAAAACGCGTTAACGATCTTCTACGATTAAATTTATTATATAAAACGCAATTTAAATATTGAAAGTTCCCAGAATGTAGTTTACTTTTAATTCGTATTACTAGTCAAATGGAGAATAAATATTCGATCTATTATTTTCACTATCAAAAAATGGTAAATTATAATCGATAAACATTGTTAAATGATTATATACCAAGACATTCTTTGATCTAATAACTTGTACCTTAGAAATAAAAAAAATATGTAAATTACAATTACCAATAGGAACTAAGATCATTTAGAAGTACTAAGAGATCCCAATAAAAGTATAAAACGTTAGAAATTTCAATTTCATAATCTTGTTTATCATTTTATCAAATATAAGGTTTGAATTTATAAATTTTGAGCAAGTTGTATCTAATTTATCCACTTTTGAAAATCGGAAAAAATATCACAGGATTTTGTTTTCTATTACGCATTGCGAAAATCAGATTAGGAGCGAATTCTTAATCTGAATGCTTTGATTTAAATATGACATTCATTCTTTTTCGCATTATCCAAATACGTATCGTGATCCAATGTGAATGCAGCTTTATTGATAATCCTCTTCCCCGAATTTTGCTATTTTTCAGCGAAATGATGTAGAAATTTTTCATTAATAGTTAGAACTTTTATATACGATAAGTTAATTCTGGTTATTGCTTATTTATTGATTGATTGGCAATAGAATATCATAATGACTACCGAAATCTCATTTATTTTTTCTTACATTATTTCGGTTAAGACTTAATTTTTTTAAAAGTCCTTATCAAAAAATTCCTAGATTATGACAAACAACCCAAGAAACCCGCTATTTTCAAACGCCGTTATTTTAGAGTAGAATCTTTTTTAAAATTTTACAGTCGAGAGACAAAAGCGAATTTTAATTTTATGATAAATTCAAATTTAGTAGAATAATGAGCCAATAATATTTAAAAAATCCTTTATATCACAAATAAACATCCATAAAATAAAAATTATATTAGTGATTATACCCTAATTATAAAATAAGGATAGAATAGAAGTTTAAAAAAATGGAATAGAGTTACATTCGTTATTAGCTTCAGATATGATAGATAACATATTAACTATAAATGCAAAAAAGCAAAATATATTTTTTAGGCTTGACATCCACCAGACGTTGTAAATTTAGTTGCAATCAAAATGTTAAAGTTCTAACCCATTTGGGATATGCTTTTTTCAACTTTAATATTTTATTATAGAAACTAAAAAAAATATAGACCAATTTTTTTTGAAATTTGTGAATGAAAAATATGTACCTGCTAGATTTGTGCCATATTTTTCTCCACAGCGGTACGATAAGATGACGACGGTTATGTATCATCCTCACGAAAGTGGGAAAAATTATAACTTATTAACAAATTAGTATTTATAGTCATAAAAATTTCTGTCCTATAAATATTTGCATGAATGCATTCTGTAGTCTCATTTAAATTTTCAAGTGGATTTATACAATCTAATTCTCCTCATTTTTATCAAAAAATGATATAATTTTTTTTAAGAATACTGATTCTTTATTCTTATTTTTTTTTAAAATAAAATTCAAAATAAACAGATATGTCTAATGAGAAGTGTTGTGTCATAAAAGGATATATAGATGATCACTACACCTAAATTACCAAAACCATTATAACTATAAGTAATATAGCTAAATCGGCTAAAAATTGACTATCTTAAGCCATATATCGAAGAAAACCAAATTAGTCTTGAGGCTCGAGTTAATTTTTTCCGACTTTTCTCAAGGCTGAATCATTTCTTTAGTTACCGCTAAAAAAACTGTTTAAATCTAGCTGTTCATACTCGGCTTGAACGGAGAGATTTTGTATTAGGCCATTTAAAGAGGTTATTTAGGCATGTTTCCAGTAATTTTTTTAAATTTCTAAACAGGGTAATAATTTGTAGAATTAATAATTATAAAAAAAACTTTATGGTCAGGCCTCATGTAATCTTTTATCTGGAAATGGCATTAGAGCAAGTTTATATTTATTTGTTAAACATCGATTGCTAACGAATTAGACTTGGAATTCCCACCCACATTCCTGGACCTATTTGAGTTTGAGCTTTAAACTTTAAACTTTAAACTTTAAATTACGACTAGATTTACAAGATATATATAAACTTCGTATCAAATTTCCTTGATTTTAAAACACTGGTCTATTTTTAACTTGAAATCAATTACTCAATAAGGCCAACTAGTATATTAAAAACTTAATTTTATGCATTTTACCTATTTTTTTATATACTAATTATCAAAAATATTGGAAACTTTTAATTTTATTATTTTTTATTATAACAAACACCGTAAACTAATATTTTTATAATCCTTTTATTTTTCTTTTTCAAAATTACAAAACGTAAAAAAACAATAAGTAATAGTGCGCACAAATTGAGCATTTGCGTTTGCAGTACCTTTTTTAACGTAATGCATCTGTGTTTAAATTGAAAGCAGTACGTTTTTTATTTGTTTAAAATTGAATCGTGATTTTATTTTTATTAAAATATGGACATATTAAGTTTACAAGATAAGCAAATTATTGCTTTATATTTAATTATTAAAAAACCAAAATCTACTAAGACGAGAAGGAAGACTACTAAAATATTCATGGATAGAAATTTATTCAAAGATTTTTTAAATTCATAAATGTATTTTAATGTATAGTATTTAAAAAAATCTACACACATTTGTAAATTTATTTATTTATCCTACCTTAATACAGTGACCCCTACAACGGGGGGGGGGGGGGTCCGAAGCAACTGCTTCTATAAATTTCTATGGGGGTACTTATTTTTTTTTTTTTAAATTTTTTTTTTTTAAATTTTTTATTTTATTTTTTTAAAAATTTTTATGGTCGATGTATAGCAAATTAGTTTGTTATCCGATATTTCTTATCATAAAATTATTTTTCCACTTTCAAGATTTGGCGCAAAATTAAAATTTTATCAAAGGGAATAGTAAAAATTTAAATATTAAATCTTATATATAATCATTTATAATTTTTAGATCATTGTCAAAATATGCCCAAAAATATTAACCAAAAAAAATATAAATGCTTATCTCGCAATCAAGCCTTCTGGGGGAACAGGCAACAAGATGGCAATATGATGAGCCTTATTAAACTTATTGCAGATTCTGAGCCTGTTCTTAAAATGTATATACAAGATAATGAAGAAAGAAGAAGTGAGAAAAAATTAAGGGATTAAAATCTAAATTATATTCAAATCTGTTATCATATAATAACATAAATATTCTTATTGAAACCATGAAAAATATGGTTATAAAAAAAATTAAAAATGAGATTGAATTCAACAGGTGCTATTCAATTATAGTTGATGGCACATATGATGTATCGAAATCAGAAGCAATAGCTTTGATAGTTATGTTGAAAATAGCGAGACACCTAAGCCCGTTGAAAGGCTGATAGACATTTATTGTACGGGAAATACAACGGGCCTCGATATTAAAAAGAATATAATATCCAAGCTTGGCTCCATGAATCTACCCCTCGAATTCCTAGTGGGGCAAAGCTATGATGGCGCCTCAAACATGAGTGGAAGAATTAATGGAATGCAGGCTTTGATTAGAGCGGAGGCGCCAAAGGCAGCTTTTATTTGGTGCTATTGTCATCGATTAAATTTAATAGTTGTTCAATAATGTCAATCAGTAAAAGAGCTGCGAAATGTCTTGGGAATATTAGACGAAATTTACGTATATTTTAATGGTGTTAAAAGATATGAAGTACTCAAAACATGTCAGAGTGATTTACTGACAAAATCACATAGATTTTTACGCATCAAGAATACCACTCGGTAATATTATCTTAATTGTTTCGATATATAATGTTTATTTTATATTTATAGAAGCTGGCTAACATCATATAAGGCGATTGTAATTTTTTTCCTACTTTATGATGCTTTGAGGGCAGCTTTGGCAAAATTAAAGGATTCTGAAGATCCTGCCACTTCCACTATGGCTAGTGCTATAGTCTATAGAATAGAAAAATTTTATTTTATTTTATCACTATGTGTTTTGGATAAAATATTGTTGATAACAAGCTTGGCTTGTACAAAATTGCAAACCATTTCGAAAGATATAGGGTTTGCAATAAATCAAATTCAATTGGTAAAAGATTGCCTGATTAATATGAGAAGTATAATTTAAATTATTATCTTTTATTATTTTATAATCCTAAAATAGATAATAACACTGAATTTTTGGATGTCTTTTCAAAGGCCCAAGATTTTATGAAGAAGAGAAATTTACCTTTTGATTTTGAAAGTTCAAGACTTCAAACATTTTAATCCAAAAAGGAGATATATATATACTTTCATCATTAAATATAATATTTTATTTTAGCTTTAAAATCAGTGTGTTTTATGCTGCACTTGATTTAATTATTATGCAGTTTAGTGAAAGATTTAACTATGAATCGATAAAATTTTTGAGTCAAACATCATTTATTACCCCAAAGGGAATGGCGGAAAAGGCAATTGTTAAAGATGATATCAAGGATATCTGTGAATTTTATCAATTAAATACAAGTCAAGTTTTTGAGGAAATGTTGATGTTTAGAAATATTTATAAAATGGCTAAAACGGGGGACGTAATTATTACTCGTGACCTAGAGGTTAAAGAAGATTTGTCAGATTCTGAGAATTGTAAATTTATTTAATTAAAATATTTTTACTAATACATTATTTAGCTTCTTCTGATGATGATAATAATTCTGAGATGAATGATTCAGACTGGAGAAACTATTCATTTATTTGCTTATAAATTTTTCTGCTTTCCCAAATTTAACAATTTATATAAATATTTATTAACTATTCCTACTACATCATGTACTGCCGAAAGGGTCATGAGTAAAATTAAACTAATTAAAACAAGACTTCGTAGTGTCATGAAAGATCCTAATAATTTAACCATTTTATCAATGGAAAATAATTTATTTAAACAATTAAATATTGATAAAATTATAAATTCTTTTGCTTTCTCTTCCCCTAATTTATCTAAATTATTAATTTAAAAATAATATTTTTAAAGCATATATTTTTTACATTATATTTATATTATAATAAATATTGATGCAATAAAAATTATTTTTGAAATTTATTGGTGTCAAAAAATAATTTACAATGGGGGGGGGGGGTACTTTAGGGGGGTATTCTGCTTCTATCCCTCAAAAAGTGTAGGGGTCACTGGATAAATTTATACTTACATTTTTGTATCTATTTAAATTTTCCCGCAAAAATAAAAAAGCACAAAAAAATCAAACCAGATTGCCTTTTTTTTAACGTTTGCCGTAAAAAAAATCCAATTTGCACAATACCATTTAAAATGCATTATTCGATTTTAAAACGGAGCGTTGCAACGCTCAATTTGTAAGCACTATAAAGGTTTACATATATTTTTTACAACTTCGATCTATGTATAAAAAATACAAGTGTAATGTCATAAAATTTATTTCATAACTTCAATTATTTTATAAAAATTAATAAAATAATAATAAAAACATAATAATATTACAAACATATGACATAGAGGAAGGAGAATGTTCGCTGAAAAAAAGAGAATAATTTCTAAAATTTAGTCTTGAACGTTTAAGATCATCATAACTAATTTTACGCTGTTTTTTGTTTTCAAAAGGATTTTTTTGTCGCTGAAATGATGGATAAAATTTTGATCCTGTACTTCAGTTTAGTCTTAAAAATTTTGAAAAAGTCCAGTATTTTTCTATGAGAAATCTTCAACTTATGGTTCAATTATTTTTTGGTTATACGCTTCATGTATGTTTTTTTAATAGGTGGTGATTTCTGCCTACTCGACACCGTTTTGTCTCGTTTGGACACCCCGTTGGGAGGCGAACAGGTATTAAAAGGGAAAACGTCATGTTATTCTTAGCGTTTTTCTGTTATATTTGCTTCTGTACGCGTTTTCTCTAGTTTTTTTTTATTTCTTTAAAACATAATAATTTTCAAATAGGAGCTTAAAATAACATTAAAACTTGTTTTATGAACCTTTTTTTTATTTATTAAACACTTTCCTCGTGAATCAATCTCGAATTATTTTAGGCAAAGAATAAATCATGTAATAATGGAATTTTTATTATTTAATTACGAAATAAAGCTGACCTTGGTGAACCTGTCCTTGCTTCACACTCTGCTAGATCTAAATTGCGAAGATTTGATGGTTCACCTTTGCTTCAAGTTAAGCCCGTTCCGTCCTATTTATTTTTTAAGTTTTCTTTAAAAAAATTTAAATGATAAATGAAAGATTTTGGAGAGAGAAAAATAGAAGATTAAAAAAATAAAATTAAAAAGGGGGGAAAACACTATTAGGAGAAAAAAAATTATGTCATTTTTAAAAAAATAAAGGTACCTCGCATCTTGTGATCACGTAAGTGACACGTCGCGATTGGACGTGTTCGATATATACGGCGACGCGTCGGGCAAATTTTTGTCTCTTCTACCGGATTTTTTGAAACATCCCGACCATCGGGCCCCATTGGTTTTCTCAATAATAATATCTAGAATTAATTATTGCCTCTTTTATACGAATTTAATTAAAATATGGCTTAGTTTTTAATAAAGGTCTGCAATACCTGAAAAGTTTTATTTATTTTTTTATTCCGGTTCGGGTTGATGCTTTTTTCCTACCTGTCGGGTTGGGTCGAAAAAATTGTCTTAGTTATTAATTAGATCTTAGAAAAAATACATTATAAATATTTGTATTTGATAATCATGGTTAGAATCTCATATTTGTTGACTTAGTTTTTTATGAGATCATTCGATGAAAGTAGACTCTGATAATCACCCCCTTAATTCCTTGTCCCTTTACCACTTAGAATAAGGGATCGTCCGATCACGCTGAAAGCCTAAACCCAGACTCCCCGTCACATAACGGTGTCAGGGATTCCCCTGTGATATCATTGCCTTCTACTTCCCTTCCCGCTTACGCTCTCGATGCCCGCCGCTCCGTCTTCACTTGCCGCAAGGCATGTCAATCTGTCGACGAAATCAAAGGACCTGGCCCTTTAGACTCGCCGCCCACTCAATCATGTAAAAGAATAATTTATTTTTCTACCCCTTCAAAAATATGTTAAACTAAATTCCCGCTTTCAAATTATTGGGTGCTCTATGCATTTTTCTTTTTTGTGGAATTTTTAGAAAATTAGTTTTTTGATAAATAATTTTAGAAGAATAGTAGCATTACACTGTCTATTTGTTATGTATCCCTGTCTTTTAGATTTTAATTATCGTATTATTTATTTTTGCTTGGCAGCCCGTGGTCGAGGCCGCTCTCGAAAAAATCGGACCCGCTGGCTTCGTTCCTATACGTCACGCGACTCGCATCCCGACCCGACTGGTCCAGCCCCGATGAGCTCTGGAATTTTTGCCAATCAGCGTCGAGCTGACGACTCTACCAATGACATAATATCGATTCGGGATTATTCGACACTCTCATCTTCTTCGACCCTCTCCTCTTCCGCTTCAGACAATAATGAGTCCTGTCTTATCAACAATAATAAAAAGAACAGTAATAATTTGGGTAAGTTGCATTTAAAAAACAATGTATACCTTGAATTCATTATTTAAAAAATAATGCTTATTTTTTATTATCAATCAAATATCCGGATTAGATAATAAAGAAAATGTATATAATATATGGTCGGGTCACGATCTTTATTCGCGTGGGGGATCCATTGGGGGGGGGCTAGAATTTTAAACAGTTTATGAAGTCTTGGAAATTAAAAATCAATATATGTATTAATGTTCTTAAACGGATCGATTTAATTCGATTTTTTAAAACGGCTAACTAAATATTTTATACATAAAAATATTATGTAAATTATTCTTCAAAATTTGGATTACTTTTTTCACATTCCTTTTCAATATTTTTTTTTAAAAAAAATACTTTCTCCCCATTAGCAACCAAAATATTATTTTAAGGTCCAAATTATATTATATTTGCGAATATTGAAAGCCGAACCACTGATAGACGGCTCCAGCCCAAAGAAAAGGCCTTCAAATTCGAATCATGTTAAAGATATGGCAAAGGAGGACAATATTTTCTCGATCCACCCAGATTCTCAAATAATAACTTCATCTGCTCTGCACTGCAACTCCTCTCCCCATTTTACATCAAACCAATCGCCCATCGACAACCAACAGTTTAACGCCGTCGACTTTTGCGCCCACCTGGATCAAATCTATCCGGATCTAACAGTCCATTCAATCGTGAGCGCTTTCACCGGATCCGGGTATCCACCCGGAATTTCGCTCGACATTGATGAAGCCTACCAACGTATTTATGTTAAAAACCGAGAGTCTAAAATTCATAAACGGGAGACCAGTCTTCTTGGTCCAGAGATCAATGCTCCTGTCAAAGAAATCGCGTTCAATAACGAGAACACTTTTCGAGTTCTTATGCGCGTCACCGAGAAAGAGAAGAATATTACAGACAATAGCGAGCTAATTTCAAATACCCCCAACATAGGTGAACCCCCTTTATGTGCTTTCATTTTTTAATAACAGAAAGAAGGTTAAAATAATAGGAAAATCAATTAAAGATTAAAAATAACCATTCAAAGTCATCACTTTACTTTTTCAGGCCCTTTCTTATCAACCCTTTTCTCCCTGCTGGAGAGAATGCTTCAAAATTCACTCTTCCTGAATCTGCACCTAACCGGTCTTTTAGCTCGTCTTAGTTGCTATCCTCAACCTGTCCTCCAGTGCTTGCTGCTCAATTGTACGGTACCAGTCCGACCGCAAATTAAAACGTTATATCGAGTTTGAAAAATAAAAATCTTATTTTTTCTATAGTTTTGGTCGGGCTTCTTTTACTTGTAATTTAATTTATGGAAAGTTGAACTTTTAAGTAAGGAATATTTCCTGGTATAAATGATAGAACATTTAGATAATTATTTCACCCTAATTCAGCGCATTAAAATTTAATATTTTCTATTTAATTTGTTATACCATGTAATCATGCAAATTAAATTTTATAAATTTATATATATATATAATGTAAATGAGGGAACTATTCTCATCTTTCTTATTTTAATGCTCAACATAATTGGTAATCTCTAAACTGAATTTACATATGATATATATTATATGTCTGCAAATGACAAATTTTTAGGTCAGTTGTTTAGTTTTCACCTGGCCCGGTCTAAGGTTGCTCTGTCCTATTTTTTAAAATCCAAAAATATATCCTATGAAAAAATAATGAGAATATATCTCTCATGATTTTTTTATTATAAAAATAAACACAATAAGGAAAAAGAAATCATGTTTATGAATAAATGTATCAAGTTCATTAAATCATAAAATTTATAACCAAATAAAATATTTAGAATAAAATTTTTCTCTATTAAGCGCACTGAGTATCTCTACTTTTCGCCCGACCCAGCTCAAATAATTTTTTTTCAGATATTACCTCGCCTTCACGTTTATTTATTTTACAAGTCTCCCTACCCATATGTTTGATATTTGTAATTCGAGTATCTCATGAGTGGGAGAGGGGGTGGTGGGCTCAGACCTTCCTCAAAATTTGGAAAGAGTAAATAATTTTTTTAAATCTGGGGGAATTTATATATTATTTAATTATAGATTTTGTATTTTAGCTTGACTCTTGAAATTGAACAAGCATATTGTAACTTATTTTCATATAGTATTAATCAAAATATACCAAAATTTTGATGCCTGGGGTGGCCTATTTACATATTACGAAATATTAGAGATTTGCAAGACACCTTATTTTATATATATAAATTGTCTGGTCTGGCCTAAAAATATTTTAGGTACGAATTACCTGACTCGTAAGTTTTTTGCCCGGCTCGACCCGTTATAATTTTTTTACAAATTTTCCCAGGCCAGGTAGGGTCTTGCAGAGATCTCTGATATATATATATATACCCAAAACAATCTTTTCGCCACTAATTTTTATTTTTCCTATATTTTATGACTTGAATAGTGAGGAAGAAAGAAGGAAAAAAAATAGAAAATAATAATGCGAATCCCCAAAAAATATCAATCCTTTTAGAAATAATTGTTCAATTTTTAAAAAATCATTTCATTTTCGTCAATTGATAATAACTAAAATTTTCAAATTACAACGAAAATTATCATTAAAATTATTTCTCGTATAAAATTAAATCTTCTTTCGCAATAGATGTCTTAATCCCCTTATTCTATTTATTATAAGGGCTTTGCCGAGATTATATATCAGATCGGCACCAATATTTTAACTTTTTCAAAAATATCGAATCGGGCCGATATTAAAAAACCGATTTGATCCGATATTGTTATTGTTTTTTTCGGTCATTTTATGATTGATATAATTTTTTTTATTTTATAAATAATTTCATAATAATGAATTAATGAAAAGAACTAAAATACAATTAATTTAATGTAAAGGTTTAAAATAATAGTTAAAAATTATACATTTTTAAAATATCTAACGAGTCACATTCAGCAGCTAGCGTTGTTAAGCGGCTTGATTTCACCAATTTTTAAAAACGGCTTACTCACGATTTTGGACAAAGGTAAATTACTTATGTTTATTGATTTTGCCCACAGATGGCAGAAAGGTTTAAACTTCTGCTGGCGAAATTAGAGGCTTAGGTGTTAATATTATAGCTAATATCATGATTTAGTCCTTTTAAAATTCAGCTAAAGGAGGTGTTTAACAACACCACACATTCACCCATAATCATTGCAAATATTTTAAATGAGATTATTAACTTTTGGAGAATAAAAATAACAAAATACACTTAATCATTGTTTTTTTTTAAAATAGAAAATATTGATATTTTTATGACATTGGTTCAATAATAGAGGGTAAAATAAAAATCAGTATTAATATGGGATCGGAATCGGATTCGTTTTTAATATCGGATCTGATCAATTAAAAATTTGTAGATCGACATAGCCCTATTATACTTTTCAAAATAAATAAATAAAGTGTCTTGATCATGTAGCTTCCCGCTTAGCCTTCTTCTCTACTAGTCCAGAATTCGCCCGATCCGCTCAGCACCTCCGTCCCACGTCTTCTATATTAGTTTCCCCTATCGCTCCCTGGATAACCTTACAAGAATTAGCTGGTAAGGCACGCGGTTACCTAGCCACACGGGAGCTTATTTACGCGCGAAAATTGGCCCTTGACCGATTTGGTCCCACCGTTACGTTGCAGAAGCGCGATATCTCAACTACCTATGACCATAATATTCGAGCTGATATAAAAGGCGATGACGTCACAACTAAGGTAGCTTCCGAAGATGACGATATAAAACGGCGAACCATATTCGTAGGTATTAAAAGAAAACAAAACATAGATGTTAAAATATTTTTTAAATTAGCATTTATTCTTCATCTTTATTTTCTCAAAATCTAAACTACCACACCTCTTTTCAAGCCCCTGAATATTCTCATCTTCTTGAACCTCTGACACTGATCGATCCTAACGAAGAGCAAAGCCTCTCAGACTCCTGTCTATCTCCTATACTCAAACCTAATAATCAGCCCGACTCTAAGCTGCAAAGTTTGTCTAATTGGAGGGGTTATAGGTAATGAGACAATATTTATTTTATATTTTGGGATAATTCAAGTTGTGAAATTTGGAGAAAATTTTCTGGCTCCCAACAAAATTTTAATACAAAATAAGGTTGTTGCTTTCTTTCGGGGGGTATTTTATTTTTTTTAAAGATACGTATTTTATTTATAATTAACATATTTATAATCGAATAGAACGAACAAATTATGTCCACTATCGGCTCAATTACTTACTAAATTTTGTTAATCTTGATTAACCCATCCATATCCAAAAAGTCGAAAGACTGGCTGGATCTAAGGGCAATAAAAAGACACCAGGATAATATTCATGATATCGATTATTAAATCGTTTTAATATTTTATTTTTGATTGTATAAATTAAATTTTAATAATATATTTTTATTTAATGAGTAAAACTGCGTCAATTTTAATTTTCTATATAACTTATAATTTTTACAACAATATAACTTGCTCTATTTAACTAAAAATTGAATTGATAATCCAAATTTACCTTACCTTTATACGACCCCTTAGATGCCTATTTCCTTCAAAAAATTCACAGGCAAAATTTTACCCTATCCCCTCCCCTTTGTGTAGACGCTGAATGTATGGCTAAGAGCTTTTTATGTTTTTGCTATTATATATTTTTCCTTAAATTTCTATATTTTATCTTTGTATGAAGAAAAATTGAAATAATTTTTTCTGAAGAATTAAAAAATGCATTCACTTAATTAAGAAAAAATTCTTTTAAAATTTCTAGATAGTAAAAAAAACATAAAATAAAAAATTGTACACCCCCCCCCCCCCGAAAGAAACATCAACCCAATATAATATATTAATATTTTTCTTTTATTAACAGTTCGTTTATGATTACATATGTAATCATTAAAAAATTTTAAATGCGTTAAATCACTCTAATTCTCAAGTGACATATTTCCATATCAAATCGACCAAAAAGCGAGATTTTCGGACCTCTCTAAAATGAATGAAGCTTGGCATGATAGTTATCTATGCTGTATACTATAGTAAAATCAAAATTTTAGAGCGCTATCTCAATCAGATCCAAAGATACACGTCTCAAAGTCGAAAATCACCCAGATTTCATTAAATCTATTTTTTTTAAATAGCTAAGATACAAATTATATATCATTGTGTGATTTTCGACTTTGAAGGCTTTATCTTTGGATCTAGTTGTAACGCTCTGAAATTTTGATTTTATTTATACAACATATATAACTAATATAGTGTTGATTTCTAATGGAATGACCCATACCTCTATTGATTCTGAGACAAATTTTTGAAAACGCTATATCGTTACCAGAAGAAAATAAATAAAGAGTTTGGCTTTAAAAATGGATCCGCTCTATTTAATATGAGCTAACTTATAATATCAATTAGGATTATTCGAATAATTTTAATCCCATCCTATATTATTATTAGAAAAAAATGTGAATTCTATGACACTAAGAATTTGGAATTACTACCACTTAATAAACTAGAGAATCTTTTTTAGTTTATTCTAAAAATAATAAAAAAGATAATTAATGATAATATAAATATTCCATCTCATATAACTCGAAAAATTAGGGTTGGGCTGATATTATATATCGTACCTAATCCGACCCTAAGAATTGGATATTTAAAAGAAACTCCATTCGATATTTGTTTTTTTAATAATTAATATATAAAAATATTTTATGCACATAATACTTAATAATAAATTAATAAAATAAAGGGAAAATTCAATTTATTTGTAATATTTAAAAAAAATTGTATTATTTTATTTGTAACAAGAAGAGGATTCAAAAATATTTAACGAAATTTTCAATTCAACCATAAACATTTCCCATATTTTATATGAGATTATTAACTTTTGGGAAATAAAAAAAACAATCATTCATGATAATGCACCAACTCATTGACCATGGGAAACGGAAATTAGTGTATAATATTATGCCGATAGCTTCTAGTTATTTATTTTTTTGCTTGAGATTAGCTCAGACTATGTATAATTCCTACTCTGGTTTGTCTTGTCTAGTTAAATATAGTATTAAAATCTAATAAATTGATGTATCTTATTTTAATAACTTCAAATATTGTTCCTAAATATATTATAATTTATATATAAAAATAAAATAACTAAACCAGAGTATGTTAAAAGCGATAGACAACCTAATCTGAAAAAAACTCTATCTTATTCCTGAAACATTTACAATAGCCAAAAAATCATGAATATCGAGTTTAAATTCTGTGCACTAAGTCTATGTCATCATCATATCCATATTATTAATTGAAAGCTTATTATTTAAAAATAAACAAATTTTATTTTTGAGCGTTTAAAATTAGCAACCAGTAATAATAAATTACTGCGCATGAAACCTATCAAAAATTTTAATTAATAAAATGAATATTTTTTTGTTTCAATAATATGCGTAATATTAAACCAATTATTCGAATGCGAATTGTAAGGAATTATTATTCGATTTATCATATATTTGCTAGAAGCTCTATCACCTAGCCATGCTTAATGTCTTTGACTAACTTTTTTCCACCCAGAGAACAAAATATTTTTTTAAATTAAAATTTAACCAACATATTAGATTCATTAACAAACGCATAAACCAGCATTCCATAAAAGATGACTTTCCCATTCTACCTCATCAACACTCCGCTCAATCTCCCCAACCCCTTAGTGATGACGAACGCGAATCCGCAACTGCTGCCATGTTTCTGGGATTTCCCGCTAAGAACGCTGCCCACTGCTGCGTCGTCCTGGAAGAATTTCTCAAAGAGCTTGCATCCTTAGCCCGCGAGATGGCTCTTTCTTATTAATGCACAATATCGCCATAGCTACCAATCGATAAAGAAAGAATGATCAATCAAGGCAGACTCTTTTATATAAAAAAATTATTGTTCTGTATTGTATGGTACAATTCGAACAGCTATATCAGCTTTTTAAATATACATCCTTATTAACACTACAATTTTTGTTCCAACAAATGGATTTTATACCCTCTAAAGGCGAGTATAATTTTGCATATCTGAAATTCTAACTTGATTATTTTATGAAAGTACTCTAAACTAGCCATTTTTAAGTTTTTCTCTTCAAAATTGCTCGTTATATTTTCTTTTGAGTTACACATTTGTTGTTGCATTTAAAAAAAATTATTTATTTAATTTTTTAAGATATTTCATTTAAATTTTCAGCTAAACTTAACGTTTGTTTGTAGGATAGAAAAAATATCTTTAAGTTTTTAAGACATCTAATTTTATCAAAATATCATTTTGATTCAATCTTTTAGTTTAAACTTTCGGAAACAACTCTTAAAACTATAATAAGATTTTTTGTTGCTCTGTACGTTCTCCGACCTATTGAGAATGACCAAACAATGAATTATTTAAAATGCAAAACTTTCTCCTGATAACTTTGGAGATTTGGCGCCGATATATTTATACATAAATACATAATATTTTGTTTACCTTCAAGTAATTGTTGATTTATATTTTTTTATAAAAGAAAGTTTCTCTCTTTTTGTTTTATTGAATAAATTACCAGTGAAAATAACTTTATGTTTTAATAAACACAAGTAATGTGTAAATCCCTTTGTTACTTATTTTAAATATATTTGCAATAAAATTTTTTTAAAAAAAACTATTTTTTAATGGCAAAAATACATCCAATCGCAAGTCGCAATAATTTATCTTATTTATTATATATGAGATTCTCTATGTTATGATAAATTACTTTTTAATAATAATATTGTACAACTTTTATAGAATATTGTTAATTACATTAATAAGTTTATTCATTATATTTTATCAAAATATATTATTTAGAAATGTTTTTTTTGTGTATAACACTTAATAAATTTAATATATTATGATTATTTATGAAAGCCCATATTGTTATAATTATGTTTAGATTCTATGGTATTTATCAGAGATCTGCAGAAGTCAAAATTTTTACCCAGTTCTAATATTATGAAATTTCATCTCCAAGCCTAGCCCAATTATTTTGGCCCGCCGAGCTCTTTAACCCCGCCCGCAGATCCAATATTTATATTTAATAGTGCTAGGCTTACTCAATTTATTAAAAATATTCCCTTATTTACTATCAACATAAAAATATGAATGATGAAAATATAATTAATATGTTTTTAATCCAATTTTATTTTTACATATTATAATATAAATGAATATATTAAGGATTTCATACATTAGAAATAAAATATACTTAGGTAATATTTATGATATAGTCTTTGAATTAATTAAAAATCCCTATCTGGTTCATATGCAATTTTTAATTTATTTATATTTTTATGCTATATTGATAAAAATCTTCCAAGCAATGCACTGAGTTCTGTCTTATTATTAAAATTTTATTTACGCATTCCAGATAAATATGTTTTTATAAGTTTCAATTATTATGATTTATAGGTGCAATTCTAAAAATAAAATATGGGATTATCATTTCATATGAGTCCTTTTTTAATAAAAATGTATTTATGAACGAAGTTCGTTTTTTTGAAAAAAATGATGAACACCTTTTGATTAACGTTGAACGCGTTCATACGTTTTTTACATTCATTCAATTTTAGAAATATTATTTTTATTCATTTGAAAATAAAATTTTTTAATTTTTTAGGTTATTTTTAATCAGCTGTTTCTTTTATCATATGTGAATTTTTTTAATCAGCTATTAGTTCTGTCCTTAGCTTATTCATTTGAATATTATTTATATTTTATAGATTAGGCGTAAGCATATATATTGTTAATTCATTATCTGATTCTCAGAATCAGATGAATTAACATTGCCATAACCAAAATATAATTAATACTTTACAGCATCCTTTATTCAATAAGCTAATTCTATCTTACCAAATGTATAATGTGTCAAAAAAGTATAATATCAGTTTTAAAATCTTCAAGTTCTAATTTAAAGAGATACTTGATTGTAATATTTATTCTTTTATTTAATAACTATAAGATAAAATAAAAATCATTAAATATTATATGCATCTAGATATGAAATAGTTAATATTTTTCAAAAATTTATTTATTTTTAATGTGATTATTTGAAATTTCGCTATTATTTTTAAGTTTTTACCAAGGGTTTTATATTTTAATAGTTCACAATTTAAATTATAATAAATAAATTTTAAAAAAAAATTTATTCATAAAGTTTTGAAAGAACGTGAACGCGTTCCTTTTTTCAAAGATGAACTCAAACTTGAACACGTGCGATTTTTGTCAATGAACGTTGAATGCGAACGCGTTCTAATTTTTTAAAAATATTTATAGGACTATAAAAATGTCATATTGTATTTAACCCATCGTTTCATTTTTATCCAAAAAATATAAGAAATAATAAAAACATAATATGCAAGCCATTAAAGGAGTCTCGGTCTAAGGCCGGGTTAAAGCGAGCCAAAGACCCTCAAATATGGGTATGGGGGGGGGGGGAGTGAAGCCTCCATAAAAACGAAGCCGCATCATCGCCATTCCTCCTCACCATACTCTGAAATGACAAAGCTGGCATTGCATAAAGTAAATGAAAAATATACAAATAATATGCTAAATGAGGTAAAAGGCATCCAAGAATGACGTAAAAAACACACAAATTGCAAATAAAATATGGACCGGCATCCTATAATATATTTTTGGACATCTTAATTTTTAAAAACCTAGCGGATTGATAAAATATTTATAAAAAAACATAATCCTAAATCTAAATTCGAATATATTTTTTTTTAAAAAGTAGGTTGAAATATAAAAATCAAAAAATTTTTTATAATGTATTTGTAAATGAGGCTTATTATATTTTACTTTCTTTATGCTTTAAAATATTTTACAACCTTTCATTTTTAAATCTACTTTTAAATAAGTATGATAAGTCAAACTCAATTTTACAGAATCTATCAAAATTACTGAGTATTTTTTAATTATAACTTTAAATTAAAATTTTTATGATTTAAAATAGTTATTAGAGATCTGCAAAGTTAGACCCGGCCCAAACAGGCCGGGCTCGGGACTAATTCTATTTAAAATAATCTACCGGGCCTAATATTTTAAAAAAAAATTCGGGTCGACCTTGGAAATTTTTTTTAAATATATCTAAATTTATCAATTTTATATTGAATTTTTTATCTAAAATAAAAATATTTGATTTTATTTATTGAAACTAAACGACATATAACAGCTTTTGAAAAAAAGAAGAAATAGATTTAATATAATATATCAAATGTCAGTTATTTTCTGACAGGGAAATGAGTTTTCCTGGTGGATGGGAGGAAAACGAATTTATCACATGGGTTGTTGTTAGATAAGAACATTTTTTGTTTGGATTTGGAGTGAAGATATTTGATGAAGACGGGATTGATTGGGGAAGATTTAATATCTATTATGTTATATGTGCATAAATAAAGATGAATTCTAGTAATGTTTATTATATTTATTCAGCGTCTACATGAGCAGGAGAGGTCGGAACAGTTTGCATCCTATTTTTTTGAGGGGGTAGGAGGTAAGCGGCTTTATTGGGGGTAGGATAATTTTTTTGGGGGGTTATCTATTAAATTTTGAGATGAAATAGGACAAAATTTATTGCTGTAAAAATTATACTTCATTATAGTATTATTATAATACAATTCATCGACCAAATCTATATATTGCAAACAATCATACACATTGTTTTTCCAAATAAACTATCTTTTTAAATGTAATTTAAAAGGTTTAGATATTTTAGCAAGCTCATAATGCCATAATAACTAATTGTAAATAATGGAGGTTTTAATTGAATTTATTATCTAAAAAAGAAAAGAAATTATTTATAATCACAAAATATAGATAGTTGGTAGTAGATATAGATTAATTTAAGTTATCCTTTATAAATTCTTTGAAGAGTATCAATAAATAAATAGGTAAAAATAATGATAATAGGGGGGTAGGCAAAAGTTTTTGAAGGGGGTTTGCATCCAGTGAAAATCCTGTCATGTAGACGCTGTATTTATTTAATATTATTAGAAAGGATTATTTTGGAGTGATAAGTTATATTTTGAGAGTAAAGGGTATTTTTATTTTTTTTCAAAAATGGTGCCGTGACCAGGATCGACAACATATGAATTTAGGTACACAACGCATAAGTACTAATCACTATACAGGGGTAAGTGAGATTAAGAGGTGAGTTTAAGGGTTTCTATAATGTTATCTTAAATATTTAGCTTACAAAGCTTAAGATAGAAAGTATGTAATGAGTATTAGGCAGGAATATGAAAATAAGATCAGGAATTTAAGACAGTAATATTTGTTATATTATATGTCTAGATGTATATTGTACATCCAATTTTGACAGTAGATATGGTCTTATTATTTGGTACGCCTTAAGACTCATTGAATGGTGTTATAGGTATTCCGTCATAGGAAGATAAGACCTCAAGATCAGCAGGACAGAAAGGATTGCTAAATATTTGAAATTTATGAAAATATATATAGAAATGGACTTTTGTAATAAAGTATGTGTTATATAATTATGCATTTTGGGTTTTAAAGGGATGGACATGTGTGGGATAATTTATTATTAATTAATGTTAATATATTGTATATGTAATTCCGTTTCAATTAAGGTTGATATGTTATTAAGGGATCTATTGAGGGTGAGTTAATGTTGTTTATTTTGAAGTAATTAACCATTTTTATGAAATAGGGTGTAATGTGAATTACACATATGATATATTTAATTATGAATGATAATTTAAAGGAATTGAAGTATGACGAAGTCATAATAATATCTATAATGTTAGATGTGGATAGTTATTTTGATTTAGTGTCTGCATTTGATATATATATAAATTGGTAGGGATTTATATGATATATTAGATGATGTGTAATATTTTTTTTTTAAATTATAAAATTATAAAATTTTATAAAAGGTTTTATTTGCAATTGTTATATTATTTTTATGGTATGCAATGATGTGAAGGGAAAATATTTTTACAGATAAGGTCAGCCTATGTTGATGGGTATGCCTTGAGGTGGGAATATT